GACCATTATGCGGTCCAACAAGACCGAAAGGATGAATCAACTCCGGCTGGCTGGACAGATGTGACTACTTCGAGAACCAACAGCCACCATTGTGTTTCTATTCCACCATCGTCGACGGTTTTCTGCTATCCTTCAGGTGGCGCAGGAGACAGTGACGTCCCATTAAACAAAAGCCGAGCGGCACTGGTCACGTTCTTCGTACCCCAACTAACCTCGTTCCTATATGAAGATGTCCACTTCACATATAGGAAACTACTCACAAGGTTGCTGAAAACTCTGAGAGCCCACGACCGGTTTCGCCCTTTTTGGGGCTCATCAGGTAGATGCAGTGCTCGAATTTTCCTCAGCGTTGTGTTTTACTTGAACCCACATTACTGCTTTCTTGGACTGTTGAAGAGTTTTCAGCAACCTTGTGAGTAGTTTTCCCTATGAAAATATACTGCGATATCTCGAATATCGTGCCAACCGAAACATGAGGCGGCCTGTGTGCAGCACATTCAGTTGTAGAATATCATAAACGAGTGAGTCAGTTGTGTCTCTCGTGGAGACCAAATTGATTTGCAAATGAGCGTATTTCACGATGTCCACTTCACATTCGATTAAAAAACAATTGAAGTCACCAAGTGAACAAAATGGAACTTGGTTTTATTGCACGTGCCGAGACACTTGATGCCAAAAGATGCCTATCCACTAGGATGGCAAACGAGTACCATGCTCTTGGTACTCCATTGATTGATTGGTACTCGACCATTGATTTCGTTTCGAAAAGCGATCGTTTCCATAGAGCTTCCCCGAGCAGTCAATCCCCGAAGTCGAGTGTTTCTGTGGGCAAATTCGTGTTTCAGGTAAGTTATCGCTGCCCTAGCACGCTCTTGTATGAGACCCGCACGAGTTACGTCACCCTCCTCGTAGTCAGATTTTCGCCAAGAGTTCCTGTTGCTTCCGCACCGAGCAAGCGTGTCCATTTCGTTCATCACAACGATGGCAACTAGGACAGTGTAGTTTGATGGCCGTCCAGTTAAAGTGGCAATCTCCTCCAGCCATTCAATGCAAACGTTTGCGTCCAATAACAAATATATCACGTGTACTTCTAATTCAACTGCACGGTGTCTTCTGGATGCAGCTTGTCTAATCGCATTCCGGCGCCAGACGGCCAGCCTGGACTCCTCCCCTAGTTGTCGCTGAAGTAGAGCTCGTTGACGCTGAAGTGCAACAACATCACCTGATGCCTCATGTTCTGTCCCTTCTACTGGTTCGTGCGGAACTGATGGCTTTTCATCGCTGAAGCCAACTGATGCACTTTCGAAAACCCGCCGCTCGTCAGGAAAACTCGGATCACTCTGTCTGTCCTCTTTACGTTCTGACATCTCGTGCTCCATGACAGCTTCGTGAGCACCTCGTAGCGCAATACCACAAAGGAAGTCACCAAACAAAACGATCTTTTCAGGTTGATGAAGTTCGCTGCGGTCTCCCCTGTCCAGTGGCCGGAAGAAGTGTACATTTTTGGAACCAAGTATAACATCGCTGTAATTCCCGCACATACGGCCTATTCAAAAAGAAACGCATTCTCGAAATTCCCACCAAGGAAAGTATGTGTTTCTTGTACATCCACCAACTCAATCTTTAGACTGAAACACCATCCATTCACCTTCCAATTGTATCGATTCGCATTCATCAGCCTGATTGCATTTCTGGTGTAGATTTGCATGTTTTTTTGAAAAACTTGATTACATCACGCGGAAGTTACAAAAATTTCTTGAACTGCATGTGATTGGCACATTCGGAGAGGTAGAGGCAGGCAGAAGATTGTTAATGATCTGTCTAAGTCTGTCACAATGGTTACTTGTGACGAACCGTAGCTAAATTTTGTCTTGGCATCGGGTTCGTAATCGATCATCCGTATCACAGCAACGCGTATGTGGGTTGATACCACTGGGCAAATACTCGGATCAAGGTAACTGTTGTGCTGTGGTGTGAAATATGGTTACTATTTGTCTCTGTCGCCTTATCAGTTGCCGCGCCGCTAAATGCACTCGAATCCTTGTTACTTAGATAGCAAAACATCACCATTAAAGTACAGCTTGCCCGAGCATGAATAGAACTCAGTTGACGAATGGGACTTGCGAAGTGCATATAGTTAGAATCAGAGGTGCAGATGTGAATATGATCACCGTGGTTTGATTTTCTGGCAGTCTGCCAACTGTCACAAAATCGACGTTTGCCAAAAATGACTTCAGGATGTTAACATTGGAAGATGGAGAAGCATTGGATTGGCGTTCTCGGATGTTAGTGAAATATAAACAACTCGATGATTCCCAGCTTATCCCGGTAGGTTTATCTACCTGCCCTAACTAAAGTTCGGGGGAGTGCATCTGACACTGGACCAGCTTCGTCTGAGATTGGCATGACTCCTGCTGGGCCGAATCAAGCTTATCCCCGACAGAACATCATCGTCTCAGGAATAATGGGAGCGAGTCGTAGATATGAATCTTGATTTTTCAGAGACCCTATTATCAGCTCCGTAAAAAGTGGACTCAAAATGGCTGGTGAGAAAATGATGTCAGTTGGATCGATAAATCAAGCCAGATCGGAACACCAGGTGATGTTATGATCACCTGTTAATTGCTGAGATACCCACTGCATATTACTCAGGGAAATAACTCGCCTTATTCAGTATGCTTGAACTAAGCTGTCCTAATTCGAGACTCGGCCCGAAAGGACACTTTAATTTTTTAAACGAATAACCATTCGACAAACCTCTGATGGTGAGTATGACTTTCTGCTACAAATGTTGACCCATTACTGGTGTAACGGTGGATATTACTGATAGGTTATGTGAGTAATATGTTTTCTAGTAACTCCCCTTTGCGTCTGTTGGAAAGTGGGATTTATTGCACAATATGTGGAATCGTTTTGCAGCATTAGTTTACATTTGAGCAACAGTCATTGAATATCCAGGAAACTTCAGGAAGATGCGTTAAAGAAGAAGAAGATAAATATTCAATTTTTATAAACAAGATGCTTTCCCGTCAAATAGTCTGCAAATGTTCAGTTGGTGTTTTCTAATAGATAACTCCGTAGCGAAGGCCTATTTTTTTACTGGCAGATCCGCCTATCTGTGTTTACGTGGTGCACTTTATATAAACAACTTCGCGTCACCTGCTATTTGAAAAAACCGGTGGGTCCGTTTTGATCGATTACTCAACTTTATAATTTAAGTTTACCGGTTTCATCCAAAGGACGGTACTATCCGTTGGAGAAGTCATCGATACTACTGGATAGTGGCATAGTAGCATAGTAGTAGCTAGCAGCATAGTAGACAGTAGCATATAAACTGAAAGTGACATGAATGTGTGGAAAAGACTCACCGTTGACGGCCCAACACGTCTTTGACTTGCGATATCGTTCTCATTCCTGGTCACCACATGCAAGCCATTCAGTCCACATTCATTCCAGAACTTTTACATCCCCATATAATATTTGAAACCACGTTCGAAAAGCTCACAGTATTTTCACTCAGAATTAGAGGACAAACAATTGAAATAAATTACTCAGTTTGGTAACATCATTTGCGTACGTATTTTGGGTCAACTGGCATTTTTTACATACGGAGGATCAGTTGCCCAAGAAGTTTGTTACAAAATAAGGCACAGAAAGGACTTCGTTTTTTTACACACGGAGGATCAGTTACCCGAGAATTTTGTTACAGAATAAGGCACAAAACAGACTTTGCAACAAATAACTTGTTACTGTTCGCCTTAATATTTTCCAGAACTTTTTTCAAGCAAGGGATGAGAGTTTTTTTCGGAAGCCATTTCGAAAGTTTTGGTCACGAAAAATTTCGCAAACCACAGTAGGGGGACGTCACATCAAGATTCGTTACAGTTACACCTCACTGAAAGTCAACATACTTCCAATAACCGTGCAATAGATGTGCAGTTTTCCCACAGCGACCGGGTGACTTACGGTAGGTATCCGAATTAATGCTACTGGCCCAACGTTTTTTCGTCAACTAAAGCAAATCAAATCTGGATAAGCTATTCCAACCTTCAAGAGGAAAAACGTGTCCACGCATCAGTGGGGCATGAGATAAACAAAACTAAGTGAAAAACTCTTCTCCCGTGGACACTCATCATTCTCATGCTTGAGTTGAGCAAATGAGATGTCTGCATATGGGAACTATCTGATGACTCAACCGCATCCGTCAAATCTTTTTTGTTACAGAGCAGATGTTTGATTTTCCCTCTGGACACTCACTACGCTGCTTTAAACTCTTCGGGGTATGTGGGCAAAAGCATGTTCGCATGATTTTGGGAGATCCCTTAATGTGCAAGTTTTGTTGAGATACCGGCCGATCCATAAAATCAACCGCACTCTTAGAGTGAAGGACCATCAAGATTGCGGATCAGTTGTTCTGACACCTGACGGAGTATGAAAATACAGTCTAAGTAGCCTCTACTCGGTCGAACTCAAGCTCGATATTCAAGTGTGCCACGAAAAGACGAGGAGGAATTGGTGACAACGGAGGTCACCCTTAAAGCTTTGTTGTTACATGATGAATTTGAAACTTACTCAAAAGACGTTGACCTGATCAGCCGAAAAATTCACAACTGCGAACTTACAACAAAAAGACTTAAAAAGGCCAAACAGTTTGGATACACGAGAATTAGGTCGAGAAGTCCCGAAACGGGACACAATACAAAGTAAGGGTTCATGTTTAAACATCTTCAGACTTTGAGCTTTGCAGAATAAGCTTCGATCTTCTGGGAATTCGGTGATGTCGTTCTATGTCATCTGACGTACAGGGTGCGGTCCGGTCGAAAACACTTCCATGAGGATTCATACATTAATGCCTTCAATGGTGTCCTTCTGGTGAAACAGGCACCGATACAACAGAGAAGTTCAGCCTTGATTGGCGTTCTAATTGCGAAATTTCGATCCACACTGTTGTGTGATTACAACAGCCGCAATGGAAACACATTGCACTAACCTTGAAAAGAAATCGTGATCTGCTTTTTACGCAGATGAATATAAATAGGTAAATAGATAAATAAATAAATAAATTAATTAAATAAACAGAAAAATAAATAGATGAATAAATAGATACATAAATGAGCATAAATATAAATAGATCAACTATTTACGCTTTACCTACGTGATTTCAGGCTCAACGATTGCCAAAGTTGCATACACAAACATCTGGAATAGGTAGTCTTTGTACACAATACACTGAGCGTTACTCATTAAAAAACATACCTAGATCATTTGACATTTACAGCTTTCTGAATAACTTTAAATTTTATTCCCCAGTTGACATTTGGATTCTCCCGAACCCCGGGGTTTTCGAGCGTTGCCCTTTCACACTAACGGTCTTCCAACGCGAAATCTTGTGTGTTTCACTTTACACTTGCAGCTGGTGTTTAACTCACATAAACGACTGCTTTCATATGTGGAAGTTTTGTCTAAATGCTGCCTTTGAGAATAATTAAATACCACATTCATGCCCACCGTGGTAGCCCCCTGAAAAGAATATTAGTAATGACTCTTGAGCGAAGTATACAATGCATGGGTTGTAGATATCCTCTTAGGGTTGACTGCAAAAGGGGATGAAACTGCCGTTTTTAGTGGTCGTGTACTGTCAACGATTCTTCAGCAACCTTGTGAGTAGTGTGTCACGTCCAGAGAATAACGTACTGCTACATCTCGAGTATCGTACCAGCCGGTATACGCATTTAGTTGGAGGGGACTATCAGGAACGAGTAATTAATTTTGATTTATTCTGGCCTTCTGCCAGAATCGAATTCGCGAGTATTCGCCTTGGAGATATTTTGCAAAGCCCGATCTTGGATCAGCATTTTTTGTCATGCATCGGAAACCCTCGATTAGTCGACCTCTCCCTATGCTGGCCTTATAACTGACTTGTTCTATCAATTACAGTCCACAGCGAGCAATTAAACGCATACTGCCTTTCATATTGCTCTTTCATTTTTCAGAAACTACGATGCAGGACCCTTTTTTGATCAACCCTAGTATTTTAGCGACTGGCAGCAAATCAGACCAACGAGACTCAAGTTTGTGCATATTTCGAGAAACGAATTATCTATGACGGTGGTTCAAATGTGAAATTTTCGATCTCAAGCTGGATTCGCGATTAAGGCGCGAACATACTGATCGGAAGGTCCATGGTTCGAACCCGACCTCTGCATCTCAGCCACTTCTATCCAGGCTTGAGTGATCTCGCGGTATCCCGACCCTCACGATGCCTTTGAGTAACAGAGCAGCTAGATACCTGATTGATGCTACAGCTGAAACATTCATTTTTCATTCAGGCGACTCTTTGGGAGGAATCTTTAAGAGGACTTTTATACAGAGAACACGTTGCCATCGTAACAGTTATTCTCCACGAGGACGAACTAATGTTGCCAAAATTTTCCACATATGAAGCCGCACACATCTACGACAATGTCGGCTATTTATTTTATACGTACTGGGAGCCCATAGTATCGCTGTGAACGAGAAAGTAGCCTCAAGCCGCTAGTTG